ATGATCTCCCCCCTTTCTTGACTAGCAAGGCTGCATGCTTGGATTAAGGATCTGGTATAGTGTTTAAGAGGGACCTCATATAATATTATTATTATTCAGGGTTCATATAGCGCCAACAGTTTGTGCAACGCTTTACAAAATAAAGGTAGACATTATAGTTACGATACAATTAAATAATGTAATGGAGTCGCTGTTAAAAATAATTTCAGACCCTAAGGGGTTTATTTGCAAAATCAGTCTCACTTCTGCATGGAAACCAATCATCTTCTAACATCAGCTTGTTCAATTGGGCTTTGGCAATAAAACCTGGAAGCTGATTGGTTTCTATGCACAAGTGAGCCTGATTTTGCACTCTCCAGCTTTAGTAAATAAACCCCTAAGGGTCTGGTGTGGATTTCCTGGGAGACCTAACATTTTTTTTGTATGAAGTACCCCCTTCAATATCATACTAGACTCAAAGGGTCTTATATATATTTTGGGGAGGGGGGCTGTATGTAATTTTGTATTCTTTCTGTAGGAGCAAAAGTGACATTTACATGAAAATAATACAGTTTCAATTGCCAGCATATGACACTTCATTGTCAGCTTCTTAAAAAAAAAAAAAAAACCTGCAAACAGACAACTATAAAGGTCCCCTTGGATCTTCTTTGAATTTCACTGAACCCTGTTTGAACAAGCAATAAGTGCGATTTCAGGTGAGAATTACGATTTCAGATTGCACCTGAAATTGCATCTAATGAATGTGAATATCAGTGTTTTAACGTGATTCGATGTAGTGGGATTTCTAAAATAGTTCTTGCATTACTTTTTCTGCAGTTTTGTTGCGGTTTCACATACATAGAATATAATGGAAAATGCACTGCAAATTTCTAGAAATTGATAAAAATCTTCACAAGTAGCAATGAAGTCTTCAGAAATCGCACCTGAAATCACGCTGAAATTGCACACAAATCGTGCTATTTTAAACTGCAGCAGTGTGACTGGTGACTAATTCTAGCACCAGAACTCATAATTAACTCTAAACTGATGAGCTGTAAAGGCATTTTAAAGCTTCGCCTATGGAGATTTTTGGATTTGGTCTTTTTTTTTTTGCGATATCCGTGCTCGCAATTTTAAGATTTGATTCTACAGACTGAGGCTATCGGAAATAGATATGTTAAAAAAAGTCCCACACTATAGAGCTCTGTGCACTAGGGATAGCAAATGCCTGTATCTGTGAGGCAGTGCTACCATATGAACAAGGATGTCTACTCCCTCTGGTCATCTGCATTGTGCCCCTAGCCAAGAGAAGGGCTGCTGCTAAACGTCAACTAAAGCTTTTGCTGACACATACAAAATGGTAGTCGTAAAAAGGATTGTTATAAAAAATGGCATCCAGGAGGCACTGAGACTTTGATATGAGTTTAAACAAGGTAGTCATAGAGCTAAAAAACATTTGAGGAGCCCAATGGCTTAGGTTAGGCTGCTCACAAAAGGCAAGGTTACCCTACTATTGGTACTGCCTGCAGGTTACCAAGAAAAAGTGTGCATGCAAAAGGACGGAGCACCAGACCAAAATATAAGAGTTCACATTAATTTATTGATGTTATCTTAAAAGTCAACGCATTTCGGGGGTCAAAGAAATTCCCCTTGATGTAGCCCTGATGAAGTGGGAGTTCTTTAGACCCCCAAAACGCATTGACTGTCTTTTAACATAACATCAATAAATTAATTTGGACTCTTATCTCTCGGTCTGGCAATCCTTCCATATATACACACTTTTTCCTGTTAAAAAGAATTGTTGTCCCTCTGAAATGTTGTGCCACTGGCCAATTTGTATGAAATTGAGGGCTTTATCTTTGTTATTTTGTAAGTAAACTTTCCTGTAACGTTTTCCTGTTGTGGCTGTAGCTTCCATCAGTTAATCCAGGTCTATTACCACTTCACAAAAAAATCAGGTGTGACAGATGAAACTACTTAAGACTTTTTTCAATTTGCATTCAAACAGATGTGGGTATTGCTGTTGTATTTGGGCCAAACTAAAGGTAAAAGGTAAAAAATCTGTTATAAATCAGTTATAAATCCAAAATGTGTGCTGAAATATTGTGCCGATGATGCTGTTTGTGCAAATTGTACTTTTATTTAACATCACTAACAACTTAAAGGCATTTTCCTAGGATGTAATTTAATCTCTTTGCTGCCATAGAGCTGTTTTTCATTTGTTGCATATTTGTAAAGTTGAATTTATGATCTCAATTGAAGTAGTGTTGACTACTACCAAGCTTCCACAGATGTCTATTAGGTGTAAAATGTGCATACTTACATTGGTCCAAGCTGCACTTAAAGTGTCAAATTACATTTGCACAAACTGTCAGAAACACAACTCAAATGTCTCAATGTTTACGACTGCTGAGCCAGATAAAATGATAGACTTCCTCCCCAATGGCAAATGCCCAGGCCCAGGTGAATTCTCTAGCAAATAATTTAAGCTATTCAAACATATCTTTTGCTCACACCTTGAATTGTTCCCTAAGACTGTCTCAACTGCTTCCTTCCCACCAGTAAAGGTTGAAAGGGTTTATTGTCACAATCCTGAAACTGGATAAAGACCTGATGACCCCCCAGAATTTCTGGTTGAAATCATTATTAAAGTGTTACTAAACCCACAACAATAAAATCAGTCTGTATATGCAGTAAAGCAAGGGTTGATATACTCGCTGTGGAACCTAAGGAGTTAATCCTCCACATTATGTAAAAAGGCTGTTTGATCCTGCCTTCTCTAATCTTCCCCTTTTTCCACAGTCCCCAATCCATCTGCTAATAGTACAGAACCCTAGGAAGCACTCTGCACATGCTCAATTTGGTGTATAATGCTAGAGAGTTTTTTTTTGGGGGGAGGGTGCATGTGATCAGCATAGGGACAATTAGCACTGTCTAGACCAGCCTTTTTTAACCAGGGTGACATGGCACCCTGGGGTGCCTTATGGGTCTTGCAGGGGTGCCTTGGAAAAGTGTCCAGAAATTGTCCCTAATTGCTCAAAAATTGTCAACAAGCTGACAGGTGGATTATGGCTGCCATTTTTTGTTGCACAAAGCCACATGCTTTTATTGTTCAGCGTTACAAATTTGGGCAACATGCTAGCCAGTCACTGGCATCCTAACAACTGATGATGCCATCAGTTGATAAGGAGGACATTGGGCATCTGCTCAGAACCCTTTTTTGTCCTTTCCCTGTCCCTTTATCTCAGCACAGGCATTATATTAGCTGAATGATGGATTGAAACTGAGGGAGAGGAGAAACACTAGGATACTGGTCAGTACCAGTGTGCATTGTAAAAATAAATTATCTCTAATGTTTCATATCCTATGTGTGTGGATGCTGCTATCATATGTAATATTATTTAGTTTATTCATTTTTTACCTTTTACAATGGGGGGCCTTGAGATTGTGCAGAATTTTAAAGGGTGCCTTGACTGGAAAAAGGTTGAGAAACACCAGTCTAGACAGAGGGTCATGAGTCATGCAGCCTCATAGGACAGTCAGAGAAGAATAAAAACTCCTCCTACAAGATTAACCAGTGCTCAGCCAGACACAGATATAAGTCACAAGACTGCTCTAACTGCGGATGAGAAAAGGTATTTATCTGTTTATATTTACTAAAATAATTGCATTTCTATGTTCTGTGTACTGTGGCAGACCAGATAGAGTGAATTCATGGTCCTGGGTTTAGTAACACTTTAACCTCCTTAGCGGTATTCCCGAGTGTAGCTCGGGGTAAAATTTCTATACCAAAAGCGGTAACCTCGAGCTACACTCGGGCTTACCATGCGGCGCTGCTCTGGGGGTCCCTGCAGCACTTACCTTGTCCTTCGCTCCCCTGCAGCGTCCCCGGCCATCTCCTCCAGCCGATGCCAGCATCTGCCTTCTGTGTTCTGGTCCCTGTGACGTTGGGACGTACCGGCGCCGGAACCGGCAGGAAATTTAAATTTTTTTAAAAATGTCATTTTTGCTATCATTGCTATTTCAATGCATTTCACATACATTTTGTCCCTAGTGCTTTGTCCTGTGCCCTGCCTGCATTTTGAATGTTCTTTCTGCCTGGAAACTTAGAAAAGTCCATGGCATCCAAAAAGCGTCCCTTTACGTCAAAAGCGGTTTTAGAACAGCAATAATAAATCAGAACCACTTGCAGAATTGAGTGATAATGATTTGTGGGGAAATTCGTCATCAGACACTGAAAACGATTTTGCGACTTTGCTCAGCGATGTGCGAATTTGCCTCTGTATTTCAAATTTCAGTGTTTTTGGTTCGATTATATCATTGAATTAAATGTATTATTATTATATTATTATTTTTATGATTATTTATTAAATTATAATTTATGATTTCATGTTTCAAATTTTATCATATCCGGAATGTTTAATAGACTCTTGTTCGGACAGATTTCAGTGAGTTATTCCTAAAAATTACAGCCTACAATAAAAAACTACATATTTCCATGCAAAAAAATGGTACCGCTTTCAGCACACAAAAAATCGGAAAGAATCATACCGCAAGGAGGTTAAATAACTATTTAAATAAGATTATACCTGTAAATGGGATGTTTGGTAAACTCATAGACATTTACTATCTGACCATTGAATATTCATGATTTAATTGATAGTGTTTCTCTGTTGGTAGCCTTATTGCTCTGCCTACCTTCCTACCTACCTTGCTCATGTGCTTTAATTTTATGCCTTACATGATTGTACCTCATTGGAATGAATATTACAGATGTGCCTTGTTTCTGTTGTATATTCTACTTAAGGCTGTCATGCTGTTTTTGCAGCCTATTTCTTAACCACTAGCCTACAAGACACTTATAACCCCTTCCTGCCCAGGCCAATTTCCAGCTTTCAGCGCTGTTGCACTTTGAATGACAATTGCGCAATCATGCAACACTGTACCCATATGAAATGTTTATCATTTTTTTGTGACAGATAGAGCTTTATTTTGGTGGTATTTAATCACCTCTGGGTTTTTTATTTTTTTCTTAAACAAACCAAAAACCACTGAAAATTTTGAAAAAAAAACCGTTTATTTTAGTTTTTGTTATAAAATGTTGAAAATAAGTGATTTTTCTCCTTCACTGATGTGCGCTAATGAGGCTGCAGTGATGGGCACTGATAGGCTGAACTGATGGACACTTATATGTGGCACTAATGGGCACTGATGAGGAGGCACTGGTAGGTGGCACTGATGGGCATTGACAGTCATCACTGATGGGCACTGAAAGGCAGCACTGATATATGGCACTGATAGGCGGCACTGACTGGCACTGTTAGGCTGCACTGACTGGCACTGTTGGGCGGCACTGATGAGCACTGATAGGCAGCACTGACGGGCACTGATAGGCGGCACTGACTGGCACTGATAGGTGGCACTGATTGGCAGCACTGATAGGTGGCACTGATTGGCATTGATAGGTGGCACTGACTGACACTGATGGGTGACACTGAAAGGAAACTCAGATGGGCACTGATATGTAGCATTGATGTGCACTGGTAGACACTGATATGTGGCATTGATGTGGCACTGATGGTCACTGACACGTGGCACTGATGAGCACTGACAGCTGGCACTGATGGACACTGACAGGTGGCACTGCTGGGGCTACACTGATCATCAGGGCACACTGATCACCAGTGCTCTGATGATCAGTGTACATGTCCCCTCCGAGGAATGCCGATTACCAGCTCTTCTCTCCTCTCCTCTCGAGCTGTCAGCGTAACAGCTCGAGAGGAGAGAAATGCCAATAATCGGCATTTCCCTGTTTACATGTGATCAGTTGTGATTGGACACAGCGGATCACATGACTGAGCAGACAACTTCGGCTCTTTCCGTGGATCCGTGATCCGCTGTGTCTGAGTGACACAGCACACCGCCGATCACCGCGCTATGACTCCCAGAATGAGAGAACCACCTTGCGTTCGTCATATTACTATATAACGGGCGGGAGGTGGTTAATAAATAAAAACATTTGTAAACAAAAGATTAAACCTGTAGTTTAGCTCTAACCACTTGCTGTTCTGGACAATTTTGACATTTCTCACATACAGTACATGTTAGAAAGTTACTTAGAACCCCCAAACATTATATGTTTTCTGAAAGCAAAAAACTGGAGAATAAAATGGTGGCTGTTGCAATTTTTTTTATGTCACAACATATTGCGCGGTGGTTTTTGAAATGCAAACATTCAGCAAAAAATACACTTAAATGAAGTGCAGGTGCCTTGTTTTTCCTTCAGGCACTTATGCTAGTCTTTAAATTTATACTCATGCTCCTGTAGAATCTTTTTGGATTCAGGCCCCATGGTAAATCTCGGTTTGGGATTCTAAGGGCTTCCCAGGGACATGGGGATTAGTCTTAAATCTAGCAAAGGTATTTCCAGGGTTTAAAGCCCAACTCTTTGCAACTGTTTTTCCTATAGGAAAGGGGATGGGGTAGTAGTTAACAAGTGTTCTACTTGAAGACAGCTTAGGTTCACTTTGAGGATAGAGCTTTCTCCAAAGTAAGCTTGCTCTCAAGCTGCTGAGAAGTTCTTTTTGCAGTTCTGAAGTCAAGCTCGCCATAGCCCATTACAAAGATGCCCTAGTCTGTTTTCTGGAGTCTATAGTTACTCTGGATAGATGTTTAGGGCAGTGCACTTTGGACATTTGTATTTATTTATTAGAAAAGGCTAGTATTTGAGAAAAATCAAACTTCAACATTTTCTAGAGACAATTTAATATGTCAGTGAAGTAACTATAAAATGTATATTTCTATTTACAATTGTATCAGCTTTTCAATAATAACTATGGTGTCACATCTGTTAAAACAGTGTGTCATAAGCTCTGCAAAGAGGACAGCTGAGAATGCATTGTGGGGCAGACTGTTATATTTACTGTACATATCAAGTAATTCCATTATCATTTCCACATGAATTATCAAAAAGATGCTCTCTGTCATCACTTCAGCTTTATTAAATTGACCCTAAGGGCAGTTTCATTAAAGCATTGAGTCCGTAAACACTTCATTTCCTTCAGTTCTGCAGATAGATTTTTTTTTCAGCCCCACAGTTTTTTTTTTATTTCACCTTTAAGCAAAATAATTGTTTTGTTATTTGTTTTCTTGATTTTTTTTAATTCTTTGTTATGGTTTCTCTCATTTAATTTCAGCAACTAGTACAGTGCTGATTGTACTGTAGCCCTTAACTCTTCCATAGGACTATTTGTCGATTTGGATTTAATTTTTTTTGTATAAAAATGAGAATCAAATACAGCTAAATGTTTAATTAATTGTAATAGTAATCATCCTGCAACTAAGCAAGCTCTTTTCTGACACCGAATTCTTGTATTATTTTGTAGATAGGATTTCTTAGCATTTGCATTCTCCTGCTTAGAGAAACATGGATAGAAGTTCAAATTTATAGGAATAATATCCAATTTAGCACTCATTTAAAAGTGTTTTAGCAATTGTCTACCCCAACCATTATTTATAGAGAGAAGGTATACTAAAGAGATAACATTGTGTTTAAAAAAAAGAACAAAACAACTGACAATGATATGACAATTACAACGGCAATAACATTAACTGCTCTATCCAAAGCCATAGATATAGCACAGGAGACCCATATATGTCCCTTTGTCCATCTTTTTTAACTAACAAAGTAAATCATTTCATGTTTTTTCACTTTACACATTGAGATAATGAAAAACAGGCATTAAACTAGAACACTCATATCCCAGTAAACATAGGAAGCACTGATAATAAGATATCCGTTCCAGGTACATTTTGCAGCATTGTTTGTCTTCCCCTATAAACCAATAGAGAAAATACAAATTATTACAAAAAATGTAATATTTCTTAAAGTTGATCTGTAGAAAGATATTAAAAACATAATTGAATCCAGTTGTTTTATTTAAAAAATGTATTTTATATAAAGCTAGTTTAGGTATACAGATCTGTTGTGCATTAGATTCCTGTAATTGTCTGCAGAACAAGAAGGAAAGGCCAGTACTCTAAACCAGTTCAGCTCTACTGCATTGCACAGTGTTTTCAATATACGGCTAGAGTTTGCTGATAAAAGAGAAAGCAGAATGAGTTCCTCTCCAGTGTTTTTAGGCCATTGAAAATAAGAACGTTTTCCAGTCTGTAAATGGAACGGTACCTGTATTACTAGAGTGGCTAAAGAGAACTGTTAAATATTTGGCAAGTGAAACTAATCAGTTAAAAAGGGAGTTTACCTCTTGCTTGCAGGTGTAGTTTAACCACTTCCTGACTACGATATAGCCAAATGATGGCTACAGCACAGTCATCTGAAAGGAATTGACTCTCGTTCCCTTCTGCACTGACTTCCGTCAGCCTCCTGGCATTGACCAACAATTACCCTCAGATCTGGAGTTCACTTGAGACACAAAGGAAATAACCGACAGACACAAGGTAGTATCTCAGAATGAACTGAATTTATTCTTCCGTGTTTAAACTTATATATGAAACTTAAAACAATGCATAGAAATATAAGAACCAATCAATTGACAGGTATGCATTTAACCAATTAGAATATTATATACGTCAGTCATGCCCAATCAGTTGGCATATATGTTAATTATTAGTATATACGTCAAGCCTTGAACTTTTGGACCTCACAGAAAGCAGACAGTTCCTTTTTTTACCGTTGGCTTAGAATTATTAATACTCTCTCAACAGGATGTAGCCCACCGCAGACTTTCAGTCTTAGACTAGCTAAGGAAAAAGGGGAAGTTGCACCTGGACAAAAAAGAGGAACTTCCTAACTCCTGACTAATTACCGTTTAAGACAAGAAAGTCAATCTTTTAAAATACTGACTTAAGATGGATACTGATTCTTAAGATGGAAGGACTTTGGCTCAGAGAGACAAGATGGTGGGACATCAAACTTAGGGGCTAATCCCTTCAAACCCCCTCTTAGGTCACACACGTGACCTTACACCTTAGTCACAGGTTGGTACCTGGGGCCCTTAGTAGGTAATCAGGGTTCCCCATATACCAAACCAGGTTTCAAATAAACTGACCAGTGGATTTTCCACTCCTGAGCTTTCAGCAAATTCTTCAAACAATATTTGGAGGTTGTGAAGGGCTCTAATAATACTTCCATCAGAAACAGTGTTATGGGGAATAAGAGTACAACCGCAGGAGTTAAACATTTTACATACTTTCCCTTTATCAGCTAATAACATATCAAAACAGTATGGTTCTACCAAACTTTTGTTAACCATAGCCAATGTAGTTAACCCAATTTACATTCCCGCTAAACTGTACCCATATAATACAGACAAATTCTGTAACATTACTATGTTCAAATCAGGCAAAATTTCCTGATACTGGTTTAGAGACTTAAAAGTAAATTATATAATCTGGTAACAGGGAATTTTCTTAACCAAATCAGTACATTCCTTCTCAGTGATATTATCTTTGTACACTCTAATTAGACAGAACATATTAGTTTCTTTTTCCTGAAAAAAGGGAACCAGTCTCAATGCCTAATCTATCTTTTGATTGCATCATTACTCCTGTATATTCCTAGCCCCCAGGGCGAGCTGCCTACGGCAGGGGCAGGGACTGTTAAAAGGAACTGGTGACGTTTGTTTCTCTGAAAATACTATTCCTAGCGGATTGGAAATGGCTAGTAACAAAACAATAGACAATGGGATCCATACACTACTATTAAAACTACTCAAAGTTACTGTGACATGGTACACAATGAGGATGACATCCCGAGACACCTCACTGCGGACACAGAAAACCACTTGACTAACATGAATGGGAGTGAAACAGACTGTGAAGATGACCAGCACCATTATGAGGAGCTGTACCGCCTTCACCCGTCTCTCTCGGCTTTGGTTCATTTGTATTGACTTGGACAAAGTCCACATGATCCGCAGGGTGTAGAAAACAACAATCACCAAGGGAACAAAAATACTCAAAACCTGTCAGCATAAGTAGCTGGAAAAAACAACAATGTTTGTGGTTAATCGTTGTGGTCAGTATGATGAAAGTTACAATTACAGCAAATATCCAAATCAAAACACAAATGCATTTGGCATAACTGGGATTTCTCCATCTGCGTGAGGCTCTGGCTTGCACAATGGCCAGGTAGCGATCAACACAGATGCAGGTCAGGAAAAGAATACTACAGTACATGTTCACAGAATACGTAAAACTGTGAACATAACAGCAGATATAACAGGTCTCTACATTACGGTAATACATAACAATTCGTGCTGGTAGAGAGAGACCCACTAAAAGGTCTGTCACTACCAAGTTAATGGTGTAAATAACAGAGGGTGTCCTTACTTTGGTCTGAAAACAGAACACATAAAGGGCCAAACTGTTCAGTATTATGCCCATCAAAAAAAATAAAAGAGTTGATAATTAGCAACGCCACCCAAAGGCCATAGAACCTTTGATGCAAGGTTTCACCTGGGTTGGCTTGTTGAGGGATTTGGAATTGTTTGTCATTTGCTATAGATTCATTCAGTTCAAGTTCTTTGGATGGGTTGAAGTTTCCAGGGCTGACGAAGCACTCCATGTGGTTCAGATCAATCTCTCAGGACTTCTCTGGCTGCTTCTTCTGTATCTGTGTC